TATGAGCTCCAGCACTAACATAAATATAATTTAATTCTGTAAGATCAAGATTCGTTTTCGAAAATGTTGAACAAAGTTTTTCATGATTATAAATTGAATTTGAACCTGCATGAGATAATATAACTTTTCCTGTTGAAACTTCTATTTCAAGACAAAATGTCATAAAATCATCTGTATTACATCCAATAAAAAATGATCGAGATCTAGCTGCATATTTTCGTTCACTTATAACTATTTCATGTTCAAATGGTTGACCACTATGTAAATAAGATACATTTTCATAATAATGACTATCTTTTGTTGAAGGTTTTTCAGCTATATAACATATTAAACAATGTAGATTTGATTGAGATTTACCTGTATCAATTTGTTCATTTGATAATGTTAACATCATATCACCATTCATTATTTGCCAATAGATATAAACTATGATATTAGTCGATGTTTGTAGATGATTCATTTTATATTGTTGATATGCTTGTGAAATAGTTAAAGGTAAAAGATAATTATCAGTAAACTCAGTTGATGGTATTGTTATAACAATACCTTGAATAGGTCTTGAAATTGAATGAATATCACGTTGACCAAATTTATCAATTAAATCTTTGATAACAAAATCTTGATATTCAGCTCGAACTTTCGAATCAGGTTTTGGACCAGATTTAGGTTCATATTGATCCATTTCAATTTGATGCGATGTCGTAGTAATACGATTTTCAAAAATAGATTTGATTGTCTGACGAGTCTTACTATCAAATGAATCAAATATATTTTGTGGTATATAAATATGATCGATATAATCAAGTGGAATAAGTTGAGGTAAATGTCCTTCAATGTTTGCATGAGAATCAGCATTAATCCAACGCCTAAGTATTGTTTCCAAATCAATATTCATTGATTTCTTTTGTAAGTAATGACTTGTTATAGCGATGAGTTCAAGAGCAGTTGCATATTCATAGCCTGTTATTGATGCATGTAGTTTTGTTTTGTGAAATAGTTTGACGCGATCATCTTTTGAACCAGAATCATGACCTAACCATGGACGCCATTTAAAAGCATTACCACTAGCATAAGATGTTGCTGCTTGAATAGAAAAGTTTGCATCTGGATGATGAAGAATTTCACGTTTAAATACAATAAATATATCTCCATAATAGTGTCCTAGATTTGGTCCCAGGATAGAGAAGACGTTTTTATTTGTTCCTAAATCTTTATCTGGTCCATAACCATATCCAGTTGGACATGAATGAAGTTTAATCGAAGCTTGAGTTATTTCAATAGATGTTTGTTTGATTGTTGTTATTTCTTCTTTAGAAAGAATATATGAAAGAATAACTTCTTTGCTTGTAATTAACTGTTTACGATACGCTGCGTTGTCTATATAAGACGATGATGTAGTCATTATTGTGGTCGCATCAGAGCTTTTATCATCAGGGACTTGTTTTTCAAATTCTTCTTTAACTAATTCATAAATATATTCTTTTACATCTTGCGCACATTTTTTCTGTTTTAAATATTTAATTCGTCGTAGTTGACTGTGATGAAGAACAGCATGAGCAACAAATCGTGGATCCCTTAATTGTTCCATATGATCTCGGCTCATCACATGTCCATGAAGAAGGATTGATTCGAATATTTCTGGTTTACATCGATGAACTGGTTGAACAGTACGTATCCAATCAATGATATTTTGTGGAATTGATCCATTTTTTAATGCTTCCCATTTTTCTTTTTTTATAAAATGTATAACTCGTTCGATATTGTCTTTTTGATTTTGAACAAAATCAATATTTTTATTTAAATTATAATACCGAACAACACCACTATCTTCAAATGTAATTATATGTCGAAATTTAGATAAATGTTTTGGATTTCGACGTTCATAACATTTATCAGCATGTTTGCAAAGAAAACGAATATCACGAATATTTTGATGTGTAAATGAATTCAAATGATCTTCTTGAATAAGTTTTGCACATTTATTACCATATGAACAAAGACAACGAGGTACATGAATTGATTTTTCCCAATGTAAAGAATCTTTATCTGTACAGTTTCGTCCAAATCTACATACATGAGCAAAGTTTAGACAATGATAATTAATTTCATCTGATTGTGATTTCGGATCTTTAGCCATTGTAAATTGTTCATGTAATGTACAATGATACGGCGTCAATATGCAAGGTGACGGAAACGGATGTTTATAATTTTCAATATGTTGTCTATCATGGAAATTAGCACAATAATTTCCAAACTCACATTGAAGCATATAATGACGAAATTTCTCACAATGACTTTTAGCATGTTTTTGATATTCTAAACATTTTTGAAAATATTTACATAAAGGTAAATGTCGATATGCTTTTTCATGATTATCACTTGTATCTTGACAATATCCTCCATTAGGACAATAAGATGGATGTTCATATTCTTGAAAATGTTTTTCATTATCTATATCTTTACATTGAGCACCACTTTTACATGGATTTCGGTGAATAAATGAAGATATATGAATTAAATCATTGATTTCTGTACAATTACCTGATAGATATCGTTGCTTACATAAAGTTGGATGAGAATATTTGAGTGCATGTTTTGAATCATATAATTCACTGCATTTGGCACCAAAAGAACAAGGTTGCAAATCAAATATTGTTACATCATTTGTAGTTAAACCATCACATGAAATTCGATAAGGACCAGATATTGTATTTGGTTTGTTCAATGGTAAAATAGGTTGAAAAATAAGTCCATCTAGTTCATCTTTGAAAGATTTGAAATTTCCTTGTGGATTATGTTGTTGTCCAGTATTATGATCATTGATAATAGCAAAAATAATTGTTTGAAAAAATCCAGCATATTGTTCAATAACTGAACGAAATAATTTAGCAACATGATCAGGTGGATTTTTAAATGCACCACAACCAAAAGCTGATAATATAAGACAATCATGTTTATGTTTATATGCAATAGAAAAGAGATTTTCAAGTTTTTTTCTCATTCCAACAGCATATTTAGGTGATAACATATTTCCATCTAATTTTGGATTTCGATATGCAGCTATAGCTAATGAACAAACACCTTCTAATGGTTTTTCCATATATGAATAACCTTTATCTTCAGATTTTCGAAAAAATGTTAAACCTGATGTATAAATAGCTCCATATTCATCCATTGGATACATTGTCATAGGATCAGAAAGACAACATATTTCACTATCAGATGAACAATAAAATCGTTCTGGTATTTCTTCTTGAATATGATCAAGATCAATATCAAGACTTCGAAAATAATCTGATCGTCGAAAAAGATTTTCTTCTTGTGCTCCATCACCTTTTCTATATCCACCACCTGGACTTGTTGCACTAGCCATATTTAGTAGAAGTGGTTTTTTATACTTTTTACAACAATCTTGATATACAATAATACAATCTTCATTGAATACTTTGACTTTAGTTTCTCTATAAGGAATTGTTATTAATTCTATTGATTGACTATATTCTAATAATGATTCATGATTATAAACAATTGTTTTTAATTTTGAATCTAAATTTAATATAACTTGTTGATTATTCATTAGGTATTTTTTCTTTCTTATAACTCCAATTGTATTTAACATAACAGTCATTCGAAGTAAGTGACGAATTTGATCAGATGTTATATTTGAATGATATGTTGAATTATTATTTGTCATTAGATTTAACGAGTTTGTACTTTGAAATTGTTCAAGCCATATGTCAGAATTCCATTTGTAATGAAATATTGGATGATCAAGATTGGCAACAAATTGAATAATATCTGGTTTATAACGAACCATTTCAGTTTGATACCATGTTTCAATATCAACTTCAAATTCTTCAGGATCTTTAAATGCAATATAGTTTTCCATTTTTAATACTGGTTTAATACCAATACGAAGTACACCAAATTTCAAACATTCATCATGAATTTTCTTGCTTGATATTTCGAGAATAAGTTTGTCTTCACGTTGTTCAATTATTTTGGCTTCTCCATTAAATATTTTTTGATTCAAGATCTCGTCATTATGATGAATTTCCAATATTGGATGAAGAAGTAAGCGATAAGTTAAATTTGCTTTTATTGGTATTGATCTATCGCCAAGAAAGAGAAAACCTTGTTTTGTCCATTTCCGAGCTATATCGGCAGATATTATGCATGCATTACTTGTCTGTTTATTTAGTTCAATATGAAGTGATAATGGCGAAAGATTTTTTATTCGTATCGAATCACTTATAGCTTCTTTTAATTGTTCTTTCGTTGTAGATTTAGATAAATCTTCAAAATAACTGCAATCTGCACCAAGATAAACATGAGCAAATAGATTATTAATTAAAAAATCTGGATTCGACATAACAACAAGTAAATCATTGAATGAAGTTGAAATAACTCGATAAATATTAGGAAATTGTATGTTTATTTGATCACACGAGCATGGTTCTTCTCCATTATAAATTTGAATCCATCGTTTAAGAATATCGTTAGGTTTTGGTAAATCTATATCTTTATTTTCGTTTGTTTTATCAATAACAATATATGAAATAAATTCAATCGAATCATTAAATGAAATTAATGATGGATTTCCTGACACATTTAATACGACTTCTTTAATATCTTGAATTAAACTTATTTTTATTTGATTGTTAGGAACACCCATAATACCAACACCTAATTTTGAATAGCATTGGATTCTTGTCGGTCTAATGTTAAAATTTTTGTCTAGATGCGTACAAATCAAATTCGCTAGATTAGCATCATCATTAATAGCTGAGGGTACGAGAGATATGTAAATAATCACATCAGATTCTAGTGATGATTGTGTCTGATCATATGAGAAATGTGTTTCAATAAAGTTTTGTTCATTTTGTTTTATCATTGACTTCATTATATCGGAAGTGGACATGAAATTTGTTGAAGAAACTAAATCAAATAGTTGCATTTAGGAGATTAGATAACAACATTTTTTTTTGGTTTTTTCCTGAGACGAGAAGTTCAAAATTATCGTAATAAATTTGATTGATAGAAAAATATTTATTTTTGAAGATTTTACTCGGAATAAAACGAAAAGAATATCAATCCATGCACTATAGTATCAATAATGGTAACTATATATCATATTTTTCTTGATTCTGGTAGTAGTTTGACGTCGAATCAGAGATGTCCATCGCGGCTGAAAATCTGCCGCTGCCGCGCCGCGGCCTTAGAAAAAAAAAGCTGCCGCACCGCTGCCGCGCCGCGGCGGTTTATAAAAAAATGTTGCCGCGACGCTGCCGCACCGCGATGACTTATAAAAGAAACGCTGCCGCGCCGCTGCCGCGATGAATTATAAAATAAACGTGCCGCCACCGCGACGCTGTCGCGACGGTTTTCAAAAAAGTGTTTCTAATTTCACTGCTGTGACTATATTTGACCAGAGATATGGGTACTAGTCGATCAGATTTATTCAATATCAGGGCGTTTCATTTGTAAATCGTGAAATTCCATTAAATTCATACAGTTTTTCAATGTCCTCCAAAAAAATCCTGCCGCTGCCGCGCCGCTGCCGCGATGGTTTTTTAAAAAACCTGCCGCTACCGCGCCGCTGCCGCGATGACTTTTAAAAAAATCTGCCGCTACCGCGCCGCTGCCGCGGTGATTTTTTTTAAAAACCTGCCGCTGCCGCGCCGCCACCGCCACCGCGGCAGCGGCAGCGGCAGCGGCGGCGGCGCGGCAGCGCCGCGATGGACATCTCTGCGTCGAATATATTCCATTCTGTTGAAATCCAAAATGCGAACATTTTCGAAACGATAAAATTTCAGAGTGCACACACACCAGATATAAAACTTTTATCATCTAGATTTATTCATTCATTTAGTAGTTTGTTACATAAATTCTACAATCTCTCTAATATAGTCTACTATTGAGTTATAATAGTTAGAAATCATCAGCTTCGTACATTAGCTCCTCATGGCATCGAGGGAACTGATCTAACTTTTTGTTGATCGGTAATGATACCGGTCTCGAAAATTCAAATCTGAATAGGATGGGGCGGTCTACTAATCATAGATCAATTCTTACAAATTATTAACTCAGATAGCGCATCGAAAATATCTGAACATTTATTTATTAATATTCAATACAAGGTTTTCTATGAAAAAATAATAGTGATCGGAATATTTTAGCCTAAAAAAAACCATACAATTTCGATATTCGGAATAATAATCATACATAGATACGCAAATAAGTATCTTTTTGAATAGAAAATCACATACTGAACATTAACGAAAAAATGTTCAATTATGTCAGATTCGTGATCTAACGAGTTGCACTATTTTGATTCTTACTTGATAGTAATGTTTGATCATATCCTTTTTCGTTTAGAGTGTCTTTGTTGTCGATTTTTTCAGTAAATACTGACGAGACACTATATCGTAGTTTTCCACAATTTTGACATCGTTTTGTTGATTCTTCATTATTAATTGAACATTCTTCACATTCCCAATAATTTTCATTTCTAGTTAACGAATTTGGAGGATTTAATACAGGAAATAAACATTCTTCGTTCTTCATCTAGAAATAATTACAAGATTTAATTTTGTAACTCACCGATGCAGTCGTACCTGTTCAAATCGACCATGAATTTCTTCCACAGATTTTGTAATTTTTGTCGTCACCGTTATTTGTTAACGAAGACATTTTTTTGAAATCTACAATTAAAAATTTTTTTCATATATCGATTTGTTTTTCATAAACGTGAATCGAATTCTTCAATATCAATTTTTCCACTCCTAGCAGAATCTTATCCGTTTTTTTTTCGTTGAACATTATACAAATCAGAAATTTTCGATGCTGTTAACAATGGTGATTAGATCGAATTCTAAAGACTCTCTATCAAAAAGATCATGCTGGAATAATGAGTTCTATTCATAGGAAAAATTGTCTTCTGTCTGAAATATATTATGAAATTCAAAAATAAACTCCCTTCAGACATTTTCTATGATCAACATTTGATAATGTAGATCATACAAATAAAACATGACATCTACACAAAGTGATAATTAATTACCGCCTAGGATGTGAGTGTATTATCGAATAACCACTCCGCAACCACCCAAACTAACTGTTATTGATATATATCTATGGTTATACGTGGTGTTGCTATTGATTATGTGAAGTGGGTGTTAGTGAGATAAGTTTCGATCATCCTTGAAAAGTTAGCATTTCTTTACATTTGAAAGTTTAAAAAAATTACTGACTTGTTTTTACTTCCATTGATGATCATCATCAATATTCTTAGTTGATTAAGATTGTTGTTGAATGAATAGTCGATACCAATATGAAATCTTGGATTAAAATAAAATATTGAATAATTATAAGTGTAATGATTATATTATCATAGAGATGTTATCTTGAAAATTATGAATTTAACGATTAGGTGTCGACGGAACGATATTTATCTAGAAATGATTGAGTTGTAAACAGAGAACATTTTGCTGTACTACGCAGAAAAAATTAAGTGATAAAATAAAACAGCGTGGTCAATGAAAGAAAATTTATTATTCAGGTTAAAATATACTAAATATGAGTATTTTTTTTTCAATAACTTGACACTGAAAGCAGCCATTCATTTGTAGTTTTCAAGAGAATTGTGAGAAAAAAATCAATATCAAAAATTAATTTGTCGACAGTGTTCGGAATCGATCGTTTACTCAATTCCAATATAGAATGCCGATATTCGATTGAAAAACAATGTTTTCTTTTAAACTATACACGATTCACTCTATCCATTTGTTTCGTTCAAAACTGATAGACATTTTTCTGAAAATATCAATCTTGGTTAACGTGCCTTATAATGTTTTTATTCTATTGGAAAGTAATCGAATGAAACTATATGAAGATTTTTCGATCTATTTGTTGTTTAATTTAATATGTGGATCGAAAGAAAATATTTTTTCCAATCAAATGGTGATAATTTAAACCTAAATTAAGTAAACTCAAAACTTTAGAACGGCATATTTCATTCTTCAGAGGTGATTGAACTCCCTGACTTCACTATCGCTATAAACATCATGTTAGCGCAAAAACATGCCTCTTTTCTTCATAGTCCCGTTTCTATTATCGAAAGCTACAAATGGCTAGCTACTTTCGCTCTGAGTGATTGGTTAAATATAACAAAGGAGTGTTATTCATGGCAAAGATTAGAAAAACATAATAAGTTCAAGTAAACTTGCATCGATTGTTTCATGGACTCTTCATCAAATGTCTTGATATTGTCACACTTAAGGATGAACATATTTTATTCGATGAGTGCTAGTTTGATCATGACATTGTATGCCCCACTTACAACGAATACGAGAATCATTCTGTTGTTGAGCAATATCTGGATGAGAATATTGATTACAATGTATAGAATTTGAAATGTCTCGACATTTCGATCCCCATTTGCAAGGTATTCGTTCATTAAGATTATTATCCTGCTGTTGTTGTTGTAATGATTGTTCAGAATCTGTTGATGACGATAATGCTAAAGAGAATTGTTCATAAAAAAAAATAATCTTCAAGCATGTAGTTTACTTTGTAATTCAATTTTCTTTATTGTTTCCATAACACGTTCACCGTGTGAATATTTCATTCGATGTTGATCTGATGAGTTGCGACATTTTTCTTGATCACGACAAGGTATAAGAAAATCTGACCAACCTGTATGACGATATTGAGCTCGATGTATTGGATTGCATAAATCTTTACAATTTCTATCAGAACTGCATCGAGGCACTTGATGAGGTATATGTGTTAGATGAGGTTCTGGATCTCGGCACAATTCAGAAAAACGACATGGATGTGAAAATTTTGAATTATGAGTTGGTCCTTCATCAGAAAATTGAAGAAGACAATATATACTATCAGGACATGATTTTAACGATAAACCATTACCACTGCCGAAGAAATCCTTCATTTTATCTATCACATTACTAACCAAGTCAACTGATTTTTTATCTTTTTCATTAGAAGTTTCTAATAACGAAATATTCTTATTATTAATGTTATATGCCGTATCATTCGACATTCTTCTTGGCAACAAAGATGCACTTTTCGCAAAATTTCTGTCGAATGTTGGATGTAAATTCATTTGTTTCTCGAAAGTGATAAACAAATTTCGAATAGGTACTGTATGAG